GCAAATGTTGTCCAATTACAGAATCACATCCAATGCTGGATGCTGTTGCAAGTTTTGCAAGCACGGGTTGGGTTATGGTCAATATCTTGATTGTTCTGAACAGTTGAAAGAACATGCTGTTTGATACAATCTACCAATCTTTGGGATGAATGTCCTACATATCCAGACTCTCAATGATAATGAAATCCATGTATCACATTATTCACGTGTGATAGGTAGTACATTTTTGCTTGATGGTAGCGTCCTGTTAGTGGTGAACATCAGACATGTCACTATTGTTGCTCAAACTTTGGAGAACCTTATGATTCCATGGTAATCAGAGGTAGACAGGGCACTTTTCCTGACCTGTTAGGGCCTTCCACATGTTTGCACACTATATAGCAAGAAACCGTCTGATCAGGATAGCCATCATTTCACAGGATGGCTTTTGTGGCTATTTTATGCTGTGCGCACAATTCCGGCAGAGCATGTCAAATCATCCCCTGGTGGGGACAGCGGTATCCCAACCCAGCTGGCCATTGTTCCAAAAAGGATGTCAGTTAGCACTTGCTGCCTCTAGCTGTGAGGCATCTTGTACTAAGCAGAGGTGGCCTCAATGACTTTAATCTGAAAGTCAAGTATGCAACTACACAACAGCACATTGAGGAGTGACCACAAGATATGAGGAGGAGAATTCGGGCACTCCTCCCATCAAGTCTTCTCCATCGATCATGACTGATATGTTTCTCTACCCCATTCTCCTGCCTTCTCCACATAACCTTTGGTCCCTTTAGTAATCAAGAACATCGAGTTGAATGTCACAGGAAGGGTGAACAAATTTTGCACACTGCTTGTATTTGAAGAAATTGACATGAATTCATTGCACCTTCTGACTGCCAGATAATATGCTACACTGCACAAGGGTTTCAGCAGGTCAGCACTGGCTGGGTAGTACTAGAGGATATTAAATAGGTAAAAGTCTGTACTGTTTGAGATTGAGAGAATATTGGGGCCAGATGTTCAGATCAGAGTCAAATAGGATGGTGAGGTTGTGATTCTGGTTAGAACAGGGATCTAGGAAACAGAGTTACAAGCAAGGGTCAAAGACAATAGCTACAATCTTTCAGTACAAGACAGAAATCTGTCAGTTTCAGTAGTTTGGTTGATCATGAGCCTTATTTTCTGATGCAAATATCTAGTTACAATTTGCCATTGATTCTAATTTTAATTTAACATTCAGCAACCCTTATAGAATAAATTACTGGTTTCAGATGCTTAATTACAATACAATTGAAAATGCATCAAGTGTCAAAAATCAAAACTTGTACAGGAAATTGGAATCCAGACCTCAGGGAAACATTTTTAGAACAACTAAATGATGATATATTTTTAAAATTTTAAATTGATCACAGCAAAATGCTTTTGCATCTTTAACGTTTAGTTGAAGTTAAAAGGTCACAATTTCACGTCTCACTGCACTTCCACTGTAACCACTTCCTTTTACACAACACGCACAAAGCCGTAGGGTTTCAGCTTTTGTTGAAACAATTAAGTTTGCTTTTCTAAGTACCAATAAAATCCAGAATTCAATGTATGACGAAGTATTTTAATTTATTCAAATGAACTTGAAACAATAAACTTAACCACAAACCTTTATTCAGGAATACTTTCCAGTTGCACATTGCTTTGTGGATTGTCAGCTTTGCAGTTTGTCAGATCAGCTATTTTGAAACTGCCAGCCTTTGACATTTTTTTTAAAAAAAAAATTAGCATCAAAAACAACTGCTCTGACTGGAACTGAGAGTTAAACAAACAACACTGACAGGATCAACCTTATTAATGACAGTTTTAGATTTTCCTTAACTCAGATACAGAAACAATTAAACAAATATTCTGGTTCTCAACCTTCAAAATTTCTAAGAAAATATAGGAGAATGGAAGTATAATTCAGTAACAGATGTTTAAATTTGAGGAAATTGTCATAAAAATGTAAAGACCATGAAGTAGAACAGCCACCTACCACCAATCATCATGAATGAGCATGAAGTCATACAACCAAACCTTATTTGCATCAACATGATTCTGTGCTGCACTCATTCTGAGATATTCCAGTTAACATTTACAGCTGCACTGTGCACAAGCATCTAGACTGTGCCACTACTGCCTGAAGAAATAATGAGAACCAAAGTCAGTTTCTGACTTTAGAAACTTAGAAGATAGTGTTAGGGTGGAAACAGCATGGCTTGTTCTAATGTATTCCTTTTTATTTATTCATGGGATGTGGACATCACCGGCCAGGGCAGCATTTACTGTCCATCTCCCATTTCCAAGACCACTGTTAAGAATTCACCACAATGTTGGTCTGGAGTCATGTGTCGGCCAGACCAGGTAAGGATGGCAGATTTCCTTCCCTGAAGGACATTAGGAAGTTTTTTTTCCCCTACAATCAATAATGGTTTCATGACCTTCAATTCCCGATGCCATGGTGAGATATGAACCTGGAATTCGAGAACATTACCTGGGTCTGTGGAATAATAGTCTGCCCTCTGGGCAATTACAGAATGGGTAATAAATGTTGACACAGCCAGTGCCACCCACATCCTAGGAATGAATAAAATAACTTCTATTTTCTCCTCTGAAATTTGTGCTCAATGAGGGATATTTCCTGGGGAAATTTATTCCACAATCCCAGATAAGGCAGCATTTGTTAAGCTACTTCTCCTCAATCCCAAAAAAAATGCCTTAACTTGAATCTCAATGTCACTTCCTACTCTCAGTCTTACAATTGCAACAGTAACCAACCTGTGGTTTCTCCACGTGAGATTGTAAATTTAGTGCAAATTCAGTGTAATTTATGCTGATATGCCAATGGCCACTAGGAACTAAGACTGTCCAACTCATTTCACATATTCCCTTCGGTCACACAAAGGTACAAGCCCAATGTCAATACTTTTAAAAATATAATTACTTTTACTGTAGTAAAACATAGAAGGCACTTCACTGGAGCATTATCAAACGAAGTGTGACACCAGGTCACAAGGAAATATTTTGATCATAAAACTGTTTAAAAGAGGTAGGTGTGAACACAAGTCTTAAAAGGAAGAGACAGAAGAGGAGAAACAAAGTTTTATGGGAAGGAATTCAAGATCTCAGGACCAAGACACTCCAACAATGGCAGAACAGTTAACAACTAAGAAGTCAGAATGAAGAGCACAGTTACGCAAGGCTGTAACTGCTTAGAAATAGATGAGGTGGTCATGGAGGGATTTGAAAGGATGAGAGTCTTAAAAAAGAGTGACAGGTGAACAGTAAGTCAGCATATAAGCAGCAGAGTTTGGGATAGGTTGAAGATAGATGGGTGAAGAGAATCTACAAGGAGGGCACATAATAAAGATAATATAGGCATGAATGAGGTTTCCTGCAAAAGCTGAGCTAAGGCAGAGTCTAACTTTGGTGATGCTACAAAGATGATAAGTAGGTGATAGCATGGGTAGTTGGATAGTTCATAGTTCCCATGCCTTAACAGCAAGGTTGAGGGGAGCCTAGTTCAGCCTCAAAATTGTTACCAAAAAGAGAGATGGAGTCAGAGGCTAGGTCACAAAATCATGGTGGTGACTGAAGGCACAAAAATGTTGTCTTAACATTTAGTCAGGAAAACACTTCTACTCATCCAGTACTGGATACCAGATAAGCAGTCTGACATGTAGACGTGATGGTGAGGTACAGCTCACCATCACGTACAGAATCTGTTGAGTTTGAGTCATTGCTGCCACCACAGCCACAGGGGGCACACAATGCCCGGGCAGCGGCAGCACGGACATCATGCCAGCCATCAGCTGTTGGGCTGAATGGTTTGTTCCCAACCGGCGGAATTCCACGATCCTAAGTAGCTTCCTGTATCCAAGATTAAGGGCAAGGAATAAATTAAAATGATTTTAACAATGACAAATCAAATGGGTTCCTTTTCAATTTTTTAAAAATCTAGTTTCAAATGTCTCTGCAAATTTTACACAGCCAAATGGGGCACATAGTCAGGCTCCAGTAGCAGGGAGCTGGCAAGTAAGCACAGCAAACTTTTTTTTGGGGGGGGGGGGGTGGGGTGGGGAGGGGAGAGATGATGACCAAGGGATGAAGACGACAACATCAGCAGCACCACACACCTACCCATCAGGAGAATAGGTGTTCACTTTCTGCTCCAAGTGCACGTCAATGACACCAGCATGACTGACTTCCTGCACCAACGCAGTGGCAGGAGATGCTCCATTTTGTCTAATATCAATGACAGCAGCATACAGATAAGCAAGTACAGGGACCAAAGATAGATTCCTGGGGAAACCAGAGGTAACTACACACAAGGAAATACAACCCTTGTAAGCAATACTCTGCTTGCAACTAGATAGATAAGAATTGACCCAGGCAATTAAGGAAATGGTTACCATGGCCATAATCACATAAGCCATCACATGGCTTTCATATTAGCTAATATGGCATTATGGCAGGCTTGGAACCTGACTGGTAAGATTTAACCATGGACAGGGAAAGGCAACTTGGATGTGGGAAGGGAGGTTGGAGACAAGTTAGTAATGTGCAAGGTCTGAGGGCTTAACATTGATTACTGGATGCACAATGTAATTATGGTAGACTTGAAGGAGATAAGACAAGTGTGAGAACTGTTAACATTAGCTAAATTTAATGCCAAGGTGGCAAGTTGGGCGGTCAGCTATTAAGCAAGAATAGGCTCGAGAGTAGGCATTGGTTCTCATGAACAAGGTGAGCTCAGAGGGCATGACAGAACATAGGAAAGATACAAGTTTAGAGCCAAGATAAGAGGTGCCTTAGAGGAAATGTTATCCAGTAAAACAAAGGAAGAAAGAGAAATGTCAGAGGCAGCTGAACAAGTTTGGCCACAAGACTTCTTTTGTGGGGTGGGGGGGCAGGTGGGAAAAGAGGAGCTTCCTTTGAAAACACGCACAAAGACTTAATTAATTTCTGAAGACAGTTTCAAATGAAGACAAACTTACCCGAATATCAAATCTGTCCTGGTTCGTCTGTTTGGACTCTCCTTTATTACACGTCATCTATCAACAAGACAGAAAAGCAACTCATTTTTAAAAAACTAAAGGTGTAAAATGAGCCTACTTTGTTTATATTAACTGTTCTTTTCCTTTTCCTCCCCCAAAAACCACTAATTGTTACTAAAACTGATCTGAGATCCAAAATATATTCTAATGCTGGGGCACAAATACAATGCAGTGCCATATTAAACATGACTAAGAGGTCAATTACTATAAATTTTGTAAAAAGTAGTGCCACCTAGGTTTAATCTATGTCCTACAGTGGAAAAACATACGTTTACTAATTTAGTGCTGTACTCTTTTAGAGTTCTATGTTAGCATTCGCTATCAAAAATTGAAACTTTGGCAAAAAATAACACTGGTACATGCACAGATACAGGACAGTGGGGAAAGAAAGAGAAGGGAGAGAGAAACACATGGTTTTCAAAATAAAGACATAAGGACATTTCTACAAGTTACAGATTTTTAAATTTCTGCATTTAGAAGGTTAAAATAAATTAGGCAGCCAGATAAAATCCTGAATGCTCCTGCAAAGATAGTCAGAGAAACTACCTAAAGATAGACAATATTTAGGGCAAGTGCACAAAGGAAATATACATGCAGAAGGGGTGGGAACCATACTGCTAATATATAGTTCTTACACGTGGATTAGAAATAACTTCTTAGAAAATCAGACTAATAAAATCAATTTTGAAACAATGGGGGAAACAACTTGTATTCCAAAAAGAAAGAATGTTTCAAATCCCATTAACAGAAATTGAAAAACTCACCGATGGGAACAAGGTTTATTGTAAATGTATTTTAATGAAGTAAGGCACTTGAGATTTATTCAAACAAGACTGGAATGCCAGAAAACTTAATTCAACACTCATGACAAAGTTATGGGATTAGGCTGCAACATAAACTAATACTATTATGATGGAGACATCAGCATGGAGTCAATTCATATAATTACTAACTATAAGCAGCAGTTACTTATGGATCCCTTTGACCTCAAGCAATTTGGATTTGCATAAATGGAAAGGCATTAAAATGCAACATTAACTGATACATTTATGGTTAATATTTTGCCAAACGTTCAGCACTATCGAAATTTAGACCATTTTGTTTTTCCAGTATATACAAACAATAAAACTACATTTAACCCAAGTACTCATCTATTATAGATGTAATTGATAATGTTTTTCAATGTTTGTCTTTTCCTAGGTGGCACATAACTTTTTAACAAGATATCTTTAATTCATAAGTTCTTCTCTTTGCATACAACAGATCACTTCTCTCCAATTTTCTGTCACTTTGCATTATTCTCTGACTGAGGGCAATTAAGAACCCTGCTCCCAGGGACCTAGCAATGCCACTCTTGGGTCAGCTAAAGGAACCACATGAAAGCAACCAAGCAGATTTGCTCTCCAATTTTATTCTGTCTTGAAGGAAGTAATTTACTTTCATTTGACAGTTCCCCTTTCTTTGGAGATTGGGAACTCACAAAGACTAGGGGACCTGTATTGCACCACACTAATGCTTTCTCCTTTAATAAGAAAATGTATTCTGCCACATAGTCATTTGATTTTTTTGAGATTTCAAAGCAGAATGGCATTTGTGTCATTTGAATGGCATTCTGCATTGTCTGTTAACAAGCACATTCAAAAACCATTATGGAAGCCAGAAGCCCAAGTAGAAATTACTTCCAAAATAAAAAAAACATTACAATTGAGGAAATTTTACAATGAACTTAAAGGTCCAATTTTAACAGACAAAAATTAATATAGTAGGATGTTTACAACTGTAGAAGGTGCTGCAACGTCAGAGCAGAGATCAGATACTGTACCGTGAATCGTGTTTGTCACCTGGAAACCAGAGTGCTCTAGGCACGATCGCAAAGGCACGATCGCATGGGCAAGCCTGCAGCAAAGAACATATGCAAGTACAGCCAAGGTGGTATAGAACCCCACAACATATGCAACTCCACACAGACATTACGGCAAAGTAGTATCACAAATTGATATTTTTCTTCCACAACGATAGTTCAATATGGTTTCATTTTACAAGACGATATGTTTAAAAAAAAATCAAATAAATTAACCAGCTGATTTTGCCTCGTCATATTTTACTTCTGAGGAATGGCTCCATCATGTTAGGTAAGGTTACTTCTTAGTTTATTAAGAAGCTGATCTACAAGTCCTGATGGCTTCTTTGGCAAATTGACTAAATTCAAGTTGTTTTGAAAACCATTACTAACATAAGCAGATGATCCAAGTGTGAACCAATTCTGGACATTGTGGAACTTATTTGAAAAACATCCAATTTGTAATGTAAAATATTTACCATGTTGCCTGAAGAATTGCAGCCTGGTCAGGGGTACTGTTTTTGTTTACATTTTGTCATTTTCTAAGGTTTAATTTCAATCCCCCACCTCACTGCCCCCATCCCCAACCCAGCCCCTTTTACTAATCAACTTTCAAAATAAGAAACAATTCACTGCTACATACTGCAGTTGATTTTAATAATAGAACATATGGTTCAAAAAGAGAGATATGGCACACTACAATATTATGCTATTTGGATGCAAAACTTTTCCTGCAATTCTCACATTCACCAAATGGAAGTGAGGCAAATTTATTCTTTTTGTTATGTTCCATAGTTTCTATTAGTTAAAAAAAAATCAATGCAGGAAATTAATTTGTCAAGCTGTTTTTGCTTCTAGCCATCGGAAGACATCTAAAATTTACCAGTGCATTTAAGTTAATTTTCTAGAATATATTAAGTTTTGTCTTGCACAAGCAATAATTGGATAATAATTCAGTCATAGAATTTGAAATATTTTTGTCACAAATGTCACAAGTTCTTTGCACGAATTCCACACTTCAAATAAAAAGTTTTCAGATCATATAACCACCACATGCCTTTTTAATTCTAATCTTTTTGACTGCGAATTTCTCTCCTGCACCTGTCTACAAACACCAAACTCTAATATCTTTGCCTAAGTGGCCATTCAGATGAGCTAGTTGCATGCTTGATGCAGGAATATTACAGTTCAGATGGCCTAGTCATCACCGAATGCTGAAATTAATATGCTTGCAACTTAGAAGAATAAGCGGTGGTCAGGATCAGAAGCCATGCAAAGTTTCCCCAATCCATCTTAGAGGTGTAGTTCCTTTTATTTTGAAATCAGCTAACTCTGCAGAGATTTGGCATTGGACCAAACAAGAAAAGACAGTTGAGCCATTAAGGTTGCTTTCTTTTATTAACTGCAATGTTATTTACCTGCACAAAATAACTAAGGGATGAAAATAAAGTTACCAACAGAGAGTTAACATACTGGAAACAAATTTAAACTACCTCAAGAATGACATAACTCACTCACCCTTTGGCAATGTTGATTAAGTCCCAGCATACACCTCTTCCCAATCAGAAATGTTCTGCAAGTGCTCAACAAAAAAGACTTTCTCATTCTAAACAAAGGCTACGCACCAACTGCTTGTAGAAAATCCTACAACTATCCCAGTTTTAGACAGCAGCAATTAAATTATACGATAAATTGATAACAACTGTGTATGCTGTCAGTACCACGATATATATTCTTAAGTAAAATATCATATTGCCTGACAAATCTAAATCTTATAAAGGAATCTGACTATGCCTCTCCAAATCCCTATCACATCTTATCTTTCCAAGGCAAATGGAAGGCAACAAACTATACAGATTTATTCCCCATGCAAAATTAGAACATTCTACTTTAGAATCAGAAACATTGCTTTCTATCCAGTGTACAACAGGAGGGATAGGTGTGTACAAATTTTCTGCTTCCAAATGCTTTCTAGTTAGCAGTCAAGGCTACAAACAAAAGAACAAGTTTCACAAATACATGTAACACTTACGTTGGGACAACTCGAGAATAGTTTTACTATGTATTTCACTTCAGCCAAAACAGTATGAACCAGGCACAGCACACAGTAATACTAATGATCATCGTTCATACTGTAAGGTCATATTTCAATACCAACTTGTACTGTAGCATATACATAAAGTATAAAACATCAGATTTTCACTAATTAACTGACATTTTGTCATTAGTTGAATGAATAATAAAGCATAATATTAGGATGCCTTTCATGACAACTTTTTCAATTTTGTATTAAACCTTCAATACTATTGTTACTGGAGATATTGGAACTTTAAGTATTATTCAAAATCTACAGAAATCACATACATTGAAAATTTAAAAATATTTAATGTCAAAATTGTCTATTAAACAACAGATTCTTACAAGCAGCCAGAGTTCAAATTCTACCCAAGTCAGAGACACATGCTCCTTCAACAATAAAATGTTTTTTGCTCGAATGCAGTTTAGAATATTAACTTTACCATGAAAGGTATAAACACTAATTTTTATAAAAATAAAAACAATTTAAATAATAAAATCGAAATGTTGCATTGAAGGTTTGATGGCATCTGTAATCTCAAGAGCATTCGAGTCATTCAATCAAGGAAGGCTCCTGGCTAAATTCCACTCTTTGCTGTGTTAGTTAACCCAATCTTGAGTGGCAATAACACAGTGTGGATGCAGTGATAATTAAGAGTCAGAACCAAGGAACCTGTTCTTTATCACTACACAGAAATCCTCTTGGAAAACACGCACTTGGGCAATGGTGAAGGTGCAAATCAAACTATGAACAAACAGCGTGGAACACTAACTGTTTGGGAGTGTATCTGTATGAGGGTTCATTGATCTACGTCAAACAATATTCTGGAATGTGGGGTGACAGGGTGAAAAATGCTGCACATTCAAAACTCCATAATTCTGAAACCCAGCAATTAGCAATTTCAATGTTGGGATGGCTTTCACATCATAAGTTACAGAAAGGAAAAAAAAAATTACTGTTTCTAGTAGAAAAGTTCTTTGACTATGAAAAGTAGAAAATGCAGTTTACAGCTCATTTTAAGACATCAATAATAAATGTTTTTATAAACTTGAAGGGGACAGGAAGGAAACATATAATTAT